TTCAGAAAATATGGGCTGTGATTTGAGATGATGCTATTTTTCTGCTCTTTTAAGTCTCTCTAGCTGATGTGGATATACTTTATAGCGATTCCTTCTCTCTCAACGTGGCATTCAAATTGTTTAATGTTTATGCCTGAAATTTTCAGCCGGATGGTTTTTGTAAATGGTAAGCACCCCCAGTTACGATGTTTTTGCTTTGAATCGTTTGGAACAGCGGGAGACTGGGGCCAACAGTTGGGTTAGTGCTTCATGTTAGCATAGTTTCTGAAATATGGCGGCAGAAAGGTCAGAGTCGGCTAGTGATACGACGGTCAAGCCCTTTCCTTACCAAGTGGCCGGGCATTTGGTTCAAGGTGAGCTAATAACTGCTAATGATTTAGCCATCGAATAAAGTTCAGTAACTTATTGTATATATACATATTGTAATTATTTATTACGTGCTTTTATTATGTTATTTTAAACTCCTAGTATAGTTCCACTGTTTAAGGAGTATACTTATTAAAGATTAAAGGTACAAGTCTACTACAAGTAGGTAAGTCTTGTATTACAATGCGACCACTCTAACAGGGCCACTTGGAACAAAACGTGTTGAATCTCTTTCGTAAACAGAGTAATGACGTTGATGGATTTAGATCCAAAAGAGAGCAAGTAGAGGTCTGTTTTGCTCACATCCACTGTTTTGAATTTATATAGGTTTACCTTACTGTAATAAGCATTGAAAGGTCATACACAGATATTACTACACCTACTTTAGCTTTAACACTTAACGTATTAATAAGAGATTTCAAAAAAAATAATAAATGGTAAATGAATAAATATATAACAATTATACAAAAACTTAATACTTAATAAAAAATTTAACGTCAGATCCTATCCTTGTTGGTGAATTATCATAATAATTTATTAATTTGACTTGAAAACTTGCTTCAAACTCGTTCAGGGAAAGCTTGCAAGTAGGTGCACCTTTGAGGTACATGCAAGTCACATGGTGAGTGAAGTGATCTGACATGGAGAGGTCTGGTGCAGAAGCACCAAGAAAAGCACCAATAAGTTGTGGATGCTTTGATCTCTGTAATTTTTTTATTTCCACCTTGCACAAATGAAATGAAATTGAGAGTAGGACCTAAGCTGGTCTTGTCAGAATCCAAATTTTGCCTTTGAACTGGTCTGATGATTTCATGGCAGAGCTCAACTGAACAATGTGACTGCTGGGGTGGCCAATGGGACTAGATTTGATTCACAAACAACAACTTTTCACGCTTGGTCACCAATCAGTGTACTATTTTTTACTTTTCTTTCTCCTAATCACAGAATGCATGTTAAATACCATAACAAAATACCTGTTCAATTCATTTATACGTGTTGTTTTTCACAACCATGTTCTTCTTTGTGTTATATACATGCAACTAATAACTTAAAAACGCAATTGAAAGTAAAAGGATTGATCTGATGATTTTATAGCAGAGCTCAACTGAACAATGCGACTGCTAGGGTGGCCAATGGGACTAGATTTGATTCACAAACAACCAACTTTTCATGCTTGGTTACCAACTAGTTTACTATTTTTTACTTTTCTTTCTCCACTAATCATGGAATGTATGTTGAATACCATAACAACATGCATGTTGAATATCATAGGGGGTCTGGGGCTGACTGTCATGGCGGTCAGTAGGTTCGTGTAATCGTCTTCCCCAAACTATGGCATATTGGTAATATTGTCGAGACCTACACAGCACTGGTATTGAAAAATGAGCGCCAAAGAGAAGAAATGTGCTTGGGGGTCAAGCTCAACTGCTGAAGATGACATACTAGACATACAGATTTTGGAAAAGTTGTCTAACATCCACAATGATATTAAAATGTTAAAGATCTGAAAGGAGAGATTCAAGCAGTCAGGGCTGAATTAAGCGAGGCAACTAAATCCCTTAATGCCATCTGGGAAGAAGCTAAATGACTTAAAATCAAAAATCAGAAATTAAAAGAAAAATGTGATAGTACCACTAAAGAAAATGTTAAACTAAACAAGGAGATTACCACTTTGAAAAGCCGCATCATCAAACTGGAAGACTATAGCAGACGAGAAAATCTTCGCCTGTACAACATTCCTGAGAATCTTGGAGAAAGCATCAAGGAGTGTAGTAGGAAAGTCATGGATGTTTTAAATGAACTTGGCGCCAATCCAGATAACATAATGTTCTACGCAATCCACTGAACAGGGACAACAACAGCATCTTCAACCGCTTCTACCGGCGTTGCTTATAACGAAGATCAGGCAGAAACTAGAGAAGAAGAATCTTGCCATCCATGTCCACCGCCAGTTATAGTCCATTTCGTTTCAAGAATGGATTGCGACTGGGTCTTTGAAAACAGAAGAATGCTAAGGAATAGTTCTTTTATCCTCTCAGATATTTCTGACATCACTAGTCAAAGCTTGATATTCATTTATGATATATATATATATATTTTTTTTTTGTCGGTACAATGGAATACCATTATATTTTGCTGTTTGATGCTATAGTTTCCTGAAAGCTTCTTACACTCTTGGTTCTTTTATTTATTTATTTAATTATTTATTTATTTATTAATTTATTTTTTCTTCTTTCTGTTTTTCAAAATGTTTTTGCTAAATTTGCATACTTTGCCAGTCCAAAGTACACTGATTTAAGTTGCCATAGTTTACATTTTTCCCTCTTTCCAAACAAACAGTCCTGAGTCCCTGTGGTCGCACTAAAGGTGTGAATCTTGTGATCCCTTTTAATTTAACATGTTTAGTTATAGTTTGCATTACTATGCCATGTTTTATTTTTCATTTGTGTGTGATTATGGTCTTCAAATGTACCGAGTTAATCAGAGACAATGGGACTCTTTGTACATGTCATCTACATGTATATGCACTATTTTGTGTCATTTGCGGTCCCATTCCATCGTAGCTTTCAACAGTCCTTTTTTACTGGCTATGTTTAAAACCTTTGTCCTTTTATTTTATGTAGTGTTAGCCCCGTGTTTATTTAAACAAATGTTGCTTTATCCGACACCCATTCTCTCTGGAGTGATAGCTATTGTACAGTTGTTTTTCATTGCAATTTATTTTTATGATGATTTCTACCATGGATCACAATGATATTAAGTTCAAAGTTGTTTCGCTAAACGTTCGTGGAATTCATACTTTTGTAGAAAGGAAGGCAATTTTTAATTGTTTCAAATAGAATGTTTCATAGCCACAAAGGATAACAAACTTCAGATCCATTATAACAAATGGAAACCCCTCCTTCAACTGATAGGACAATAGCTGAACTATTTATTATTTATTTCAATACGCTATGCCTCCCTTTTTTGTTTTTTTTTGTTTTTTCTCTCTTTTATTCTTGTAGTGTAATGTAGGATTTTTCTTTGGGCAATAGAGTAGTGTAATATATATTTATACATGTAGAATCTGTGATGTAGTTTGTGTACTTGTAAAAATTGTACAAACCCAAAAACAAATAAAATACACACAAAAAAATGATGAATACCGTAACAAAATACCTGTTCATTTATACTTGTTGTTTTTCACAACCATGTTCTTCTTTGTGTTATACACATGCAACTAACAACTTAAAAACCCAATTGAAAGTAAAAGGATGTTGTTGATGCATCCTTTAAGTTGTTCTGTTAATGGACCTTTTTGGTGATACGGTGGCCATTTTAAATCCTATTTCAAATAGCTATGATGGGATACTCATGGGGGCAAATACATACTAATGCCCATTGCTACTTGTAATAATGGAATTGGCATCCTTCTGATCTAAGCCATTTTAAAACGTAAACAAGTAGTCTGTGTGAAAAGAAAGATTCTGTCTACAATGTTCAAATATCTCTTTTTACATTCTGCAAATTAGCCAAGCGATGACGTGATTATACTCAAACAAATTTTGATCAAATATGGTGAAAAAGTGTATCTGGGCCAATTTGTATCAGGAATGTTTTATTTTTGGCAGTAAGATTCTACTAGATGTGCTTCACAATATGGGCTTAACTGTTAACACAAATATGATAGGCCAAGTTTCTGGCCTATTTTAAATGTTTTTTGAGCTGAAAATCACTGAAATTGTAATCAGGTTGGAGGAGACTGGAAAAGAGTGAGTTGCCATGGGAATAGAATTTTTTATAGATCTACAATGGGCGACAAAAGTGTTGAGACACGTGACAGTAAAATTCGATTTTTGAGTGTCTTGGAAACATTTTCCCCCCCTTCCCCCCAAACAATGTTGATTTTTCTATTTTTTAGACTGCTCAGGCCACAACGCATACACAACATTGAATTGGGGGGCCGGGGGTATCAGAGAATTAACGCTAGATGCATATAAAATAGAATAAGTGTTTCAATATTGAAAAGCGTCATTTTCTAAGAGTGTCTTACCTACTTTTGTCGCCCACTGTAGGTTTGTTTCCGGTAGAACTATTAGCCTGCCAGGTTTCAATGGTCTCTGCTGCAAACTGACCGAGATTAAACAAATTAATTGCTATTTACAAGTAAAAAAAAAAAAACACTGAACTTTTTCTACACTAGGTCATCTTCAGGGTAACTAAAGACTAATTGCATATTTAATATACAGTTGAACCTGTACATAACAGGCCACCCTCGGGACTTGAGGAGCTGGCCGCTTAGTACAGGTGGCCGTTTAATACAGGATCACTAAAAATACTCACTGGGCTTGGTCTAATGTCAATTTTAATGGCATATCATACAATAACACTTCATGCAAGAAAACAATAGGACAATCAAGACTCTTTCAAGCGATCAATACTTTAAACAAGGTTCAGTGCCAACTTGTAAGTTAACAGTATAATATACATAACATTGTGTAAAAGCACTGTGCAATGAATTGTACTCTACTCTTCTACAGTATACAGTACTGTATTTCTACAACTTACAGTTCACAACAATATCTCATTCTGTCATTTCATAGTTGTTACATTCAATTTCATAGTTGTTACGTTCAGGGTGGCTGCTAAATACAGTTAAAATAACAAAGAAAGACAAATGTAGGACTCCTATAGGGTGGCCTTGCCTGCTAATAGAGGTGGCTGCCTAATAGAGGTAACAAATACAGCGTTTGTATGAAGGAAAAATAGGGACTTTGAAAACTGGCCACTTAATAGAGGGTGGCCGCTCAATATAGGGCCGTTATATACAGGTTCGACTGTATAATTTTGCAGTGTAGCAATGGACCCCTCTTCAAGTGCCTTCTCTGCAATTTCACTAAAAACACAGTGTTCAGCTTCAATGGCCACTGCTACAAACAAATCGATGGATGTGGTATGGGGAATCCTTTATCTTCTGTCCTCGCAAATATCTTTAAGGCTAAATTGG